GGTTTCCTTGCCTGTACAAGGGGAATTGACTCGCTCACTAAATCTTTATTGACCACCTGCTATGGGCTGGGCTCTGTTCTAGGTGCTGGGACACAGCAGTGATCATAGGAGACAGATTCCTGCCCTCAGGGAGCTGACTTCCAACGGAGGGACCTGGATAATAAACAGACAACAATTTAAACACAGTAGGTCAGATGAGAGAAGTAAGGCAGAGAAGGAGATAGAGAATGTGGGGGTGCAGAATGGGGGTGAAGTGGTGTCACAGGGTTAATGGGGCTGCCAGGGAGCCCTCATGAGGAGGTGACATGGAGCACAGACCCAGAGGAGATGGGGAGCACAGCTTGTACAGGTGGAGGGGTTGGGGGTGGGGGTCTGTGGATTACAATCACTCCTGCTTGCGGGATCTTTTTGCCAGAATCGAACGTAGCCATGTTGATCATTTGTGTCCTCACCATCCTGAAAATCAATTCCTGTGAAGGGAGCCCAAAACCATCATTTTAAATTCGTTAGAAACACAGGGACTCTGCCTTGGGGAAATCTGGGACGACTCTGGAAGGCGGTGGCATTCAGCTGGGGCTTGAAGGCTGGGTAGAAATGAGGAGGGACCGGCTGACTCTCCAGCCCCTGATCATCAGGGGCTCTCCAGGTGGCTTCTGCCTCTTCTGAAAGGAGCATCTGTATGAGTCCAGCCAGGAAGCTGAGCAGGCTTTCTGAAGCCAGGCTGCCTTTGGGGAGTCCTGAGGCTTTGGTGATTGAAGGGCAGCTCCTGTTTTTATGCAAAGCACTGGGCCCTTCCCCTCTCCTGTCCACAACAGAAGGCTTTGTTCCCTTCACAGGTGCAGCCTTCCTTTCCAGATCATTCCCTTCTTCTTCCTCCCCAGGCTGCCACAGCCTCAGACAAGGGACTAATTTGAAAGTCTGAATCTAGGGGCAGGAGAGAGGCAGAAGATGGCAAGTGGCCGCTGTGCTCCTGGGCCAGCCTGGGGGAACCTTCCTCCTGGATGCCTGGCCCTCCTTTATCTTGGTTGAATCAACAGCCAGTTCATTCACTAGTCAGTTCGTTCCACACACATTTCCGGCACATCTCCACCAGGCCAGGCTCTGTACTGGTGCTGAGGACGCAAGATGATTCAGACACCATTTGGGCCCTCCACCCACCCCAGCCTGGAGGGGAAACCAACACGTAAATAAACACTTATTTCTGGCACTCTGATAGCCCACTTCACTGGGTGCAGAACCGAAATAGTGCAAGGTTTTGGGAGCCAGACACAGGACTGGCTACTGCTCCGGGGCCCAGCGCAAAATGAAAACGCATTCTCCTTGTTCAAAATTCACTAGAGATTTCAAGATGGCAACAGCAGAGCATTGCACCACGTGTGGAGCCCTTCTAAATGCGGGGCCCATGTGACAGCACAGGTCACATGCACACAAAGCCGGCCAGCTCATACCTTCCAGAAGCTCCCACTCTGATGTAAGCTTTGGTTACGGGTTGTTTCACCTCTGTCTTTGGTTTCTTTATCTGTAAACTGAGGTTGGACCTGCCTCTTACATTGGGTAGTTGTGAGCATTAGTGAATTATATTTATGAATCTACTTGAACAGAAACTAGTGCACAGTAGATTCCGAGATCAATAATAGCTATTATTATTCCAATAGGTTCAAAAGGGGAGAAGGGTCAATCTGGAGGGGGCAGGGAGGAGAGCAGCTCTGAGAGCAGCTTCATTAGAGGCCCGTGGAACCTTGAATTACGGGCGTGTTCCCCACACCCTCTGGCCTGCAGACTCTGGGGTCAAACCACCTGGCTCCCTCACCTCCCAGCTGTGTGACCTCAGCCCCTCCATGCTCCCTTTCCCTTATCTGTAAAGTGGGCACAATCCTAGTGTGCACCTCAACGGGTCGTCCTGAGGGCCGCTCACGCCGCACCCTTAGTACAGGCTGGCACAGGAAGAGCTTTGTATTTCAGCTGGAGGAAGAATCTGGGAGCATCTCCGATGACAATGACAAATAAAAATGGCAAGCAATAGGATATATTGGAGTATATGAGGAAGCCATTTGGTATAAACCTAATTCGGCCTGACTTTGTTTTTCCAAAATGGCCTGTGGCCATTGAGCATGCATTGTATATCTGCTTAGACATTTTGAGATAAAGGTGCAACTTCCCTCCCCCTCCAACGTTGGCATCTCCTTAAAGATTAAGCATCTTTCTTTAGGCTGGGAACTGATTGCAGCGCTCATCTGTGACCGCCCAGCTCGAGGCAATGGACCTGCCACCCTGCGGCGTTCACTGAGACAGCAGAACTATCTGCTGTTTCCATCAATCGCTGTGCTGACAGAGCAGCCTCGTGACTATTGTAAAAGGGACATTTCAATCATATGTGAAACATACTCTTTGAGGGTATATAACCACCCTGTATACCCCCACTTCTTTGGAGTGCTCTGTTCCTTTGTGGAAAGACTCTCCCGGGTTATAATCCTCAGATTTAAGCTCGGAATAAACTTACCCAAATTTTCATTTATAGATTGGTTATGGATTACTTTCATCGACAACAAGAAGAGACATCTAAGAATGAGCTAGGACCAAGTCGAGGGACGGATTACAAAATAACTGACCTGTGGATTACTTCGCTGGGCTGCCAAACAAAATACCGTGGACATGTGGGGCTTAAGCCACAGGCGTTCACTGTCTCATCGTTGTGGAGGCGGGAAGGCCCAGATCAGGGTCTGGTTTCTCTGAGGCCTGTCTCCTTGGCTTGCAGACGGCTGCCTTCTTGTGTGCTCACCAGGTCCTCCTCCTGGGCGTGCACATCCCCGGGGGCTCCTTGTGTGTCCACATTTCCTCTTGTTCCAAGGACACAGTCAGATTGGATTAGGAGCACCCTAACAGCCTCGGTTTAACTTAGTCAGCTCTTGAAATGTGTTCCCTCCAAAGATGACACCTTCTGAGATGCGGGGGGTTCTGGCTCCAACACACGAATTTAGGGGGAACATAACAACCTGTGCTTTTCAAAAATGTCCAGGTCCTGACAGACAAAGAAGACCCGAGTGAAGGGGTGAAAGGAGGCCCCTGAGCTCGCGTGTTCTCCTGGGCGGGATCCCAGACAGGAGACACTGTTTTTCTTTTGTTATAAAGGATGTTAGTGACACAATCGGCAAAATCTGAATAAGGCCTGTGGATTACATAATAGTATCGTATCAGTCAACTTCCTGATTTTGATTAAAACCTCCTGTAGTCATGTAACAGAAAGTGCTTGTTTTTAAGACATACGTACTGAAGTATTTGGGACCGTCAGGTAATCAGGTCTGCAACGTACTCTCAATGAAAAAAATAGATGAGGGATGGACAGATGGATGGATGGATGGATGGATGGATGGGTCGGTGGGAGCAAAGGTAGAATGTTAACCCTCACACCAATGAAAAGCACACAGAAATTCCTGCCTAGTTTTGCGACTTTTCCGTAAGTCTTTTCACACGTACAGTTTAAAAACTTTTAACCACTGAGATGAAAACCTAAGCAGTGGGTCACGGTCCAGGGGCAATATGGCGGAGGGAGGGGAGGAAGAGAAGGACACCTATCGAGTGTCAAGCAGCCTCGATGGTCTTACCACAGCCTTACAAGGTAATTAATAGAACCCTCATTTTCAACCTGAGGAAAGGGAGGAACAGAGCGCTTAACTATCTCGCCCAAAGTCATTTCAGGTTTTGTGAGGGCAGCCCCCACTCCCGGGTCCCATTTCCAGGTAGGGCAGCCAGTGTTTACATTCACTGTCTCACCTTGGCCACCATCACACAAGGCAGCCTCAGAGAGGGTCCAGTCCTGGGGAGGCGGTGAGTCAGGGCGGGCGGGGAGGGGGGCCAGTATTCATTGCTGGATTTACAAACCTGTGGTTTTCTCTGGGTCCCCAAACTTCAGAGCCAGCCTCAGCCCCTTCCGGCCCCAGAGACATTCAGTGTTCAAGATGAAATAAAGACCCAACGTGATCCGAACAAAGTGTTATTATAAACTCGTGAAAAGAGTCCTTATTAGAGAGGGCTCGGCGGGCAGGAGGAGGCCTGGGGGTTGTGACAAGTCTGATCATTTCTGCAGGCTCCTGGCGAGCGGTGATCATTAGCAGATTTTGTTCTGGGCAGGCTCAGCGTCAGCCCCACATTATGGGATTTTACGGGATTTATGCACAGAACTTTCCTACAAAGCGAGGTATTATAGGACGGATTAGGCAGTTCCAAGAAGCAAAGGGTCGGGCTCTCCCATCTTAGTTTTTAGCAGATTTCTTGAAGAGGCCCATGGTCAGGGGCTCTGTGGCCTCACACCAGAACTCCTGTATCCTGCTGACTCTAGAACAAGCATACTTGTCCAAAAAGATCATTGAGTGGATTTTTCTTAATATAAACTAATTACAGAACATTAGGAATATGTAAAAAAGACATAAAAAGATGAAAATCACATGTTCTATTATCATCCAGAGACAGCCACTGTCTTCTTTCTGTGTGTGGTTGTGTGTGCACGTGTGTGTGCGTGCATGCGTGCGTGTGTGTGTGTCCGTGTAGAGAGAGATGGAGAGACAAAGACAAAAGTCCAGAGCAGGAAGAGAAAGAAGCAGAGAGAATGAGCTTTGAAGTAAAGTTGAGCTAAATTTGAATTGTGTACCTGCCACTGATTCACTCCATGACCTTGGCCAAGCTCCTTGACCTCCAATTCCACAGGTGTGACCGGGGAACACAGACCCTACCTCAAGGGAGCCGTTTTGATTAAATGAGAGTAAATTAAATGAACGTGAAGCATTTCATATACCACCTGACCCAGACGACATCCCACCCAAACGGTAACTAAGTAAATATGAACAAGTACTTTAGGCTTTTTCTTTCCAGAAGTGGGATCATGCTGGCCACACGAATTTGTATCCTAACACAGTACGGGTTTTACTGCTATAATTGTGGGAAAACAGACTTTCATTCTCAGGGAGCTAAAAAAGAAGAGTACAAAATTCCCAATTACACCCTGCTCTTCAGACTAAATTTTTAATGACGCAGTATATTGTCAACATTGTGCATATGTTTTTGGGGGGTTTGTTGTTGCTCTTTCCTTTATATTTGGAGGCCCGGCATAAACTCAACAAGCACCTGACTGGGGCTACAGATTCACAACGTCCAGAAGATCTGATTATTCCATCTGTCTCAGCAACGCCACTTAACACTGCACGATTCGGACAAGTTACTCCTCCTCTCTGGGCCTCCGTTTCCTCATCTGTTCAATGGGGATGGCAACAGCGCCCCTCAGCAGGTGGCTGTGATGGCTAAGTGAGAGTCCACGTGAAACAAAGGACCTGGTGCCTAGTAAGTGCCCTGTAAAAGGTAAAATAATAACAATTATTGTTTCTTACATTTAAGAGATACAATCTTCCTATTACAAATATGTGCCTTTCCGTTTGTCTGTTTCCTACATGTTTCTATAGACTAATTAGAGCAACAAAGCCCAGACAGGGCTTTTCGATGGAGCCAGAACTGGCAGGCAGCCCCTCTGTGCGCCCCTTCGTACTGGGAGACAGCCGGCCAGATGTGGCACAGGAAACAGGAGGCCGGAGGGTCGGGGGTACACGCGCAATGCCAAGGGGCTGCATGCCTGTCCCCCCACCTGAAGGCAGAGACTGGGCTTGTTGTGGACTTTGAGAGCCCTCATAACAAATGGCAGGGCTGTAATAAATCTTAGGGGAGGTCCATTGTGGAGAGGCAGGGAGGGGGAGACACCAGGATCCCAAGTCAGAGCCTGTCGCTTCTGCCTCCAGCTTGAATGTTCACAAGCCTGTGGCCTCAGGCAAGCGACTCAGCATTTGGGGGTCTCAGTGTCCTCGTCTGTCAGGACTAAAGGAGGTAGCACGTTTGAGGAGCTAGACACAGCCCCAGGCTGTGGTGAGCACATCCTAAACACCAGCTGGTCACGATACATCCATCATTAGGCTCTCCTGTCCTACTGCTTTTGTCTATTCGTTTTCAACTTCTCGATGACGTTGGTCTCCCCATTGATCCTCCACTTCTCACGGTGGGCATTAAACTGGGTCAGTCCCTATGAATACGTTTCCAGCAGGAGGGCGAGAAAACAGATACTGCTTTTCTGAAGCTCGCGTTTCATTTATTTCTGAGGTCTTGAAAGACCGACATTTGCTAGCTTAACGTCGGCGGTCTAGGGCGGAAACTGGCAAACTACAGTCCACAAACCAAGTCTGCAGAGCCCCCGGCCTTTCTGTGTACACTGCGGGTCTAAGAATGGTTCTTATACTCTTAAATGGTTGGAAAGTAAGCAACTTTGTGACATGTGAAAGTTATATGAAATTCAAATTCCGGTGTCCATAAATAAAGTTTTATTGGTACACAGCCAAGCTTATTAGAGAGAACGCGTCTATAACTCTTTACATATGGTCTGTTTACATATCATCTATTTACTTATTGCTATTTATATACTGTTTGTTTACATATCACCTATTTGCATATTGTCTATTTACATATCATCTATTTGCATATTGCCTATTTACATATTGTCTGTTTACATACATCTATTTGCATGTCATCTAGTTGCATATTGTCTATTTACATATTGTCTATTGCTGCAACAGCAGAGTTGAGTTGTTGCAACAGAGACTGTATGACCCAAAAAACTTTACAGAGAAGGTTTGCTGACTCCTGGCCCAGTGTAAGGGGTTAGCACTCCTGTGGCCCCAGTGCTGGGCCAGTTCCAGTTCTGGAGAAGGCTTTTTATACCCCTGCCACTCAGGTTTCCTCCACCCTCCACCTCCCCCCAGACAGTGCCCATGTCACTCAGGCTCCACACCTGCCCCCACCCCACCCCAGATAGTGAGTTCCTTGAGGACATGAAGCCAGGAGGAAGGAAAAGAACACCCATGGAGCATCTTACCCCTGCCAGACACAGGTCCTTCAAAGATGTCATCTCTGTAGGTGGTAAAACCCCATTTTAGGGGTGAGAAAACTGAGGCTTGGAAAGGCAAATGCCCTGCCTGCCCTTACAGCTATTGAGTGGCAGAGCTTGGATTTGGATCCAGTCTTGCCAGCCCTAGGACCATCCTCACACCAATGCTCCACACCCTGATTTAGAATTATTTGACTCACCGACCAAGTCAGGAGGCAGGTGACAAACGCCGGGTGCCCTCCTGGCCTGAGCCCACGCATTCTCGAGTTACACCCCCAACCCATCCCACCCGGCTGTGTTCCTGCCACGTTCTCAGCCTTGGCTCCAGCCTGCATTTCCACCCAACCCCGGCAGCCAGAATAAACACGGCCTGCCCCAGCGTCCTCTCACGGGGAGCCCGCAGCACCCACTTCCCCGCTGCCACAGCCTGGGATCCAGGATAATAAGGGAAAGGGAAACTCGCCTGTGGGCAGAGCAAGGCTGGAGAGGACGGGGAGGCGTCATTCCACGGAGAACACTCGCCTGGGTCGGGGAGGTTGTCGTGGGCTGAAAGGAGCCATTCTACCTGCTTTTTAAAAAATTTTATGTATCCAGTCCTATCAGCCAAGACTTGCCAAGGAGAAAAGGGCCCCTCTTGGTAAATGTTCTCTATTAGAAAAGGGAGGTGTTTATGAGGTTTTTAAATGTGTCTGGATACCCAGTGCCCAGGGGTTCCCCTCCCCACAGGGACTTTCCACCCGGCTGAAGCCTATTGTCCCCTCTCTGTTTCCTCTGGCCGGGCAGGCCCCCAGGTTGGCCATCTCACATCCCCCTAGGTGTCCATCTCCATGAAGACCCCTCAAGGCAGCCCACCTTAAACTTCATGGAACACGTGTTTCCACTAGACCAGGAGTGGCTCGGCGTCCACCCCTCATTCAACACTGCCCGCTTGTTCTGCTCAGGGCAGAGTAGCCAACGGTCCAATGAAGCCATGAGTGTGAGTGAGTGTGTGTCTGTGTGCATGCGTGCACATGTGTCAAGTTATTGGTATTAACATCCTGCTCAACAGGAATGTCCCTTGGAGGGAAGGGACTCCCGGGAGGCCCCTGAGCTGGGCGCTCATGCAGCGGAGCCTCCAGGCGTCCCCGTCTGCCCATCGTTGGCCTGGTAACTGTGGCCTCTCTGCCCTGAACAGCCCGCGCAGCCTCTTCGCCCCGTCCCAGCATCCACCCTTCGTTCACTACAGGCTGTTCTGGACCCAGCGGCCGGAGCGCTGCTTCCAAAACATGGATCCCATCGCAGCTCCCCTCTCTGTTCCTGTCACACTGCAAACGAAACCCGCAGGCACCCTCCTGGCCTCTGGACACTGCCTCAGCGCTTCTCACACTTCAGTGTGACGAAAAGCACCAGGGGACCACGGCAAATACACTGCAGAGGCTGCTTCCGGAGGGCCGGGACGGAGCCGGGATTCTAAACTTCTCCCACGTGCCCAGGTGACACTGACGCTGCTGGTCCAGGACCACCCTGAGCATGGAGACCCCAGGTGAGCTAACCCCTCACCCACCTCCTTCTCCTTCCTCCCAGCCACTCCCATCTCTCTCTGTCCCCCTACCCTGTCTATATTCTTCCTGGCACTCTCCACCTCCTGGCGATGTAGTAAAACCAGCCCCACAAGGGCAGGGACTTTGCTGTCCTCACTGCTGTGTCTCCAACATCCAGAACAGGGCCTGGCACACAGTAATGGCTCAGTAAATCTTTGCTGACCAAGGAAGCGGATGGATGAGTGAATGGAGATGCGCATCTGCAGTATTTCACTACCTCTGCTCCCGAGACCTCGAGGCCGAGGCTCAGTTTCTTCACCGGGGCAGAGCAGGTCAGACTTCACTTACAAAACACAAGTTAAAGACAAAATGACCAATTTTAAGACGGTGACAGCGGAGCATTGACCCACATGCAGAGCCGCAGCACGGGTCACAGGCCCACCGAGCCCCCGCCCCTGCCCTGGAGAAGCCACGAGTCCGATGTGAGGTCTGGACGAGAAAACCAGCAGTGACAGTGCAGCGGGACTATGCGCAGGGGGAGGGAAGACAGGGGCCAAGAGGAGGGACCCCTGGGCCAGCCCTGGGTGGGGACGGGGACACTGGGGCCTGAGGGGCAACTGGGAAAGCTTCCTGGAAAAAGTACCACACGACCCAAGGGAAACCTTGCAAGATGGATAGGGGTTTGCCTGGCTGAAGAGAAAAGGTTCTGGAGCAAGTGTGCAGGGGGGTGGGGCAGAAGGTACTGGCGAGATGAGGGAGCGCCCAGCCCAGCCGGTGTTTCGGGAGCCCAGCCGGTGTTTCGGGAGCCGCGCTCTGGGGCGGCCCAGGAGCACCCCTGCAGGGAAGCCCTCCATCTCTGCATGTGGCTGATCTGGCTCCTCAGCAGGGTTAAAAGGCCCCACCAAGAAGGGACCACGGCACCATAAAGATGAGAGCTGGCATTTAGTGAGCTCTCTGGAGGGGATGTCATGAGCATCAAACCCTATCCTCATGACTATCCTCCCTTTACAAACACGGAAGCTGGAGATGGGAGGGGGGAGGGATTTGAACCAGAGCTGCCCAACTCACAGCCACACTGCTCCTCTCTGACTCAACCTGCCTGACCCCGATAGCCCCCAAGTAGAGGATTAGGTGATAGTTGATTGACTGACTGATGGACCAACTGAATGAGTGAGTGAAGGCTTCATTTCTCCAGCTTCACTTTCTTCCCCATTAAGCGTCTGTTAGGACGAGAGCCACCAACCCAGAACAGCCCATGAGGAGGGCTCAGTGCCGGGAGACGCCCTAAGTGCAAAGGAGGGGAAGAGCTTGGCTGATGGTGGAAGAGGGAGGAAGCCTTCACGCAGGGGCTGTCAACAGTGAGGGGCTGCGCTGAGGCAGAACTGGGAGGTTCTCGAACGTCAGGCGCCCAACAATCGCCTGCTCGGCCTGCGTGCGGATTCCCAGGCCCCCACTCTAGGCTGCTGGTTCTGGACGTCTAGGCTGGGGCCCCGGAATCTGCATTTTGACAAGCTCCCCAGGTGGTCCTATACATTCCAATAGACATCGATGGATAACCTAGCCGGGTTCAAATCTCACCCGTGTGACCTTGAGTGACTTTCTTAACTTCCCTGAGCCTCAGATAAGTAGAAGGCAAGGCTTGAGACCCGTTTATTCTTCCAGCTGCCATTTGAGGTGGTGATAAGGAGAGTGCCTGGTCAAAGGATGACACGTGAGTGTTCACGCGCTTGGCACTGGGGATGCAATAGTGAGTAAAAAAAGATGGGTCTTGACCCTGGCGGGGTAGGGGGTGAGGGTCGTCACAGTCTGGTGGCCCATCCAGGGTCAGCAAGTTCCCCTGCAGGTCCCAGGCCGCTGAGGTCAGCAGGCTCTAGGCTGGAAGGTGGCTCCAACCTGCCCTCCTGGGTCCTCGCACCTCCTGGGCCGGCCTTGCGCCGGGGAGCTGAGTCATGGAAAAAGTTCGCTCTCCAGGCAGCAGCTCACCTCCCTTCTCCATCAAGCCCACAAAGCCTCCTTTCACATTTTCAAGGGGGTGGGGGTGGGGGGCTGTGGGGCCCTCTCCCCAGGCTGGGATGTGAAATTTCAAACTTCGTCCTGGAGTTAAATTCCCCAGTCCCTGCCCCCAGGGAAACTAAGGGAGGAGAGGGGGAGGGGGAGGGGGGAGCAAGATCGTGTCCTGCGGAAGCCAGGCCCCAGGGACCCTCTGGGCCAGCCTGCTGAACTGTGCACCCCCAGCCCAGCGTCCCCTCAACCTCATCTTCTCGCGGACTTGGCGGCGGCATAGAGAAGGGGACAGATAGCCCCTCTCCGGGCAGCTGATGATGGAAAGAGCCTGAGGCTCATGGAGATGCCAGGCCCACAAAACCCACATCCTGAAGGTGGAACAAGTAGAAACAAGGTGTCTCCTTTTCGACCACAGTTCAACCCCAGCTTCTTTTAGAATTGCCTGACTTGTTTCATTCTACTCTGATTTCACCCAAACCTGATGGTAGGGGGAGGTAAGAAGCACCCTGGGTGGCCTTGGGTGAGAGGCTCAGACTTGCTGGGCCTCTCTTTCCTCCTGCGTTAAATGGGCGCAATGACACGCGGCCTCGGGCTGTCTCCTGTCTCACAGGAGATGTGTAGAGGGCCTGTGATGTTCCAAATATCAGTCCGGGTTCTCAACCTCCTTCCCACTCACTGCCCTCCCTCCATCCCAACACACACCCGGGGAAACGTCAGCAGGACCCAGTGGTCACCCACTGGGCTGGCCTCCGAACGGGGTGGGGTAGCAGGGTGGGGTTGGGACTTCAGTGGACATGCTGCTGTGTTTACGAGTCACTTAACATTTCTGCGCTGCGGTTCCCTCCTCTGTAAAGCAGTGGGCGTGTGGCGAGGAGGAGCCATGATCTTTGCAAGCCCTTTTAGGCTTGGGGTGTTAATCTTATGTGGGGAGAAAGGCCTGGAAGGAAAAGGATGGCTGGTGGGTTAGCAGGAATAGGAGGCTGGAGGCTGGGCCAGCTTGGAGGCGCTGTGTCGCATCCGGGCCGCTAGGCGGCTTCAAGGATAAGAGATGAGACCAGGGCGAGCGCCCAGCTCCAGCTCCGGACTTTCCTGGCTGTCCTCCTGGCAGGCCCGGCCGACACCAGCCGCTGCTGGGTGGGAAGGGCCTGTCTCCCCCACGGTGGGACTCCTTTCCCATTTTACTGGCCCCCAAGGTGGGAGAAGGCCGTCACTTTGACGGAGTCCTGCCCTTAGCTGCGGCCTGGCAGTCAGATGAAGGCAATGGCCTGCCTTTCCATCCTGCTTTTGGAGGGTGGGGTAGAGGCAGGGTGGGGTGGGAAGAGGAATCAAGTCTGGGTTTGGATCCCTCCCTCCCCGCACTTCCTGGCAGGGCAACCTGGCAAATGGGGAGAATAATTCCCCCACTGCAAGGTCAGTGGGAGGATTAAATGTCAGAATATAACCCTCAATGTAGGAGAGCCGCTCCTCCAACCCCTCTTCCGGATCTCCTTTGCTCTTCCAGGGGCTCTGCGGATAACGAGCTTCCCACTGCTCCCGGAAGGAACATCCTCACCTGCACACCCGCCTCCCCAGACCCAGAGGGTCTCTGCAGCCAAGGAGGGAAACCCTTGCCACCTCCTCCCCAAATCAGCATTTCTCAAAGCGACGTTCTCACCCCAGCCTCAGCAGAACTACCAGGAGGAGCACTGAACACACTGATTCCAGCACACCCAGCCCTGCTGAATCAGACCGTCTGGGGGTGAGGCCCAGCACGCTGCGCCTGAACAAGTCTCTCTCGGTGGAGCCGGAGAACCTCTGTCTCAGATCACAGGGCAGCTCTCTGGCTCCCCCTCTCTCCTCCTGGCCTGGGACAGTCCGGGGCAGCGGGAGGCAAGTCCCATCAACACTTTCAACTGGGGCTGCTCTTTAGTGACTCACCTTCCAGACTTCCTGCTACAGACAACTCGCAATGGCTAGTCCCACCCTCCAGCCGAGGAGACACTCGTGTTGGGGGAGAGCAGGAGGTCACGAGGCCGGTGCCCCGCTGGGGCAGCCCAAGGAGACCCAAAGAGAGAAGTCGCTGCCTGCACAGCACATGGGCCACTGGTTTAGGACGTTTTGTTTACAAGCTTTTGTTATTAAGGAAATTGCTGTCAGTCAAGGTAATTCTAGCCCAGATGAGCAATAAATATGCTCCCAGCTAATCTTATGGGGATTTTATTGGCACCCTGGGGGCAGAGGTTCCTTTACCCGGCCCGCACCACCACCCCCAAAACGAAACCCTGCTCCCCAGCTGTTTCCCTCAGCAACGCGAGAGACTCGGGGCAGACTTAGAAAGTGCACTCTAAGTGGAGACAGAAGACGTCCGGGCAAAGGTCGGGAGTGGCTTCCTGGTCCTACCTGGAGGCAGGGAAATGACCTGAAATAAACCCTGGGCGACTTGGTTGGATCAAGGCATGCGCGAGCCCCCCCCACCCCGGGCCTGCCCTGCACGCAGGGGCGGTCACCTGGCCCACGCGCGCCCCAGCCCGGGGAGACGGCGTCCCGGGCAAGGAGGCATGTCTCAAGGAGGGAGCCGGTTCGCAGGAGTCGGTTCCAGCGTGTTCGAGCTACGGCTGCGAGCCCTCAGGGACACCGCCGGCAAGTCCCGGCTTGCAGCGAGGGGAGCCAGCCCTGGGAGAGCGCGAGTCGGAGCGAGCCCGTGTGCGCGCCCGCGCGCGCGCCCCGCGACAGCGCAGGGGGAGGGGAGACCGCGGCAGCCACTCAGAGGAACAGGAGTGAAGCCTCAGACCAACTTTAACTGTCAATCAGACTTAATGGGGTATTAAAAAAAAAAATGGGGGGGAAAAAAAAGGGCGGCCCTCTCGCTCCGCGCCGCTGCTGCCCCGGGAGCGAATTAATAAGGCGGCGCAGACGAGGGCGTCCGATCCACGCGCGCTCCGCACCCGGGCCCTCTCCAAGTTGGAAAGGACAAAAAGAAGGCAATAAATGCTAACAAGGGAGAGAGAGGGAGCCGGATCGAGCGGCAACTCCCAGCCTCTGCTGGAGGAGAGAGGGAGGGAGGGAGCCGGAGAGAGCGAGCGCGCGCGAGGGCGAGCCATGCACGTAAAGAAACTGACACCCGGACCCCCCACTTCTCCTGCACGTTGCTGGCAATCAGATCGCGTTTAAGCAATTTCCTGAGCCCAAGAATAGCAATGAGTCGGGAGACTTTCGCGGGCTGAAATTGGGAGCTCGAAGCACTTTTCCCCCTACTTTTTTTTTTTTTTTCCTGCAGAAGGGGGGGGGGACGCTACAATTTGGAAACAGCTTTTTTTTTTTTTTTTTGCTTTTTTTTTTTTTTAATCTTGCACTTTGAAACCGCGGGACTGTAGCAGGGTGCGCGCGTGTGGTTGGTGCCTTTTTTTTTTTTTTCCCTTCCCCTGCCTAAACTCCTCTGTCAGCCCGTAAACATTACCTGAGAATTCCCCAGCCGAAACGGCTGCCGGGGCAAGAAACTTCTTGTTAGAACTTTCCACCTCCAGCTTCCCCTCCACCCCTCTTACTGTCCCAACCTTCTGAGACGCTTTTTCTCCTCCCCAGGAGGATTTATCTTTCTTTTTTTCTTTTTATTTTCCTTTTTCTCACCCGGTGTTTTGCGTTTGGGAAGAGGTGATTTCAAAAGTGGCCAGGTGGGACGCCTCTCTCCCCCTCTTTCGGTTTATTTATTATTGTTTGGGGTGTTTTCTTTTTCAATTCCTGTTTTGTTCGGTCCGGGGAGTTTCGCTCCCCCTACCCGGCGCCGCGGCGCGGAGGATGGTGTGGAAATGGCTGGGCGCGCTGGTGGTGTTCCCTCTGCAGATGATCTATCTGGTGGCGAAAGCAGCCGTCGGACTGGTGCTGCCCGCCAAGCTGCGGGACCTGTCGCGGGAGAACGTCCTCATCACCGGCGGCGGGAGAGGCATCGGGCGCCAGCTCGCTCGCGAGTTTGCAGCACGAGGCGCCAGAAAGGTACCCGGCACTGCGCGTCCAGGGGGTGGGGGCTGGAGGCGAGGGAAGACCCCGGGAGCGGGGGTGCGCCCACCTGCTGCCGCTGCCGGGACGCGCGCCCGGGGTCTGAGAGTCGCCGGCCACCCCACTTGTCTGCGCCACCCGCGAGGGCTGAGCTGGTCGGTTTCACCTTGTACATTTCCCGGGCACCCGACTGTCTTTTTCCGCAGGTCGGGAGCTTATCCGCTCCTTTGGGATCGGTGGCTGGCTGGCTGCTCACCCCTACCCCGAAAGTCAGGAGACCCACCCTTCTCCCACATTCCTCTCTCCCGAAGGAAGATGTGTGTTTTCCCCTCTCCCTGCCCCTCTCTGCCGCCACCCTGGTGAGTGCAGGGTGTGTGCGCTCCTGCGTAGAGCTGGGAGCCGCCTGCGAGCTGGCGCTTCGTGTTTTCCTTGGCAGCCCGCTTCCCAGCCCCGACCTGGGCGACTGCAGCTCCGGAGGCACGAAGAGAGGGGATCCTTGGTTTGAGTTTGAAAAGGGAGGAGCGGTGTGGCTGGTCTAGCCTGGCCTGCCAGGCACTCGGAGGCCCAGGTGTTTGGAAATCTGGAGGGAGGGGCACAGGGGTCACCAGAGCCCTCGTTCTCACCTTCAGCCCTGCCCCCTCTTCCCAAAGACGGCCCCAGAGGGGAGCCCTCCGCATAAGCGGGGAGGTGACACTGTGGGGAGAGCCCTCCCCCCAAGGCTGCCTCTAACTTTTTGGCAGTCCCAGCACCTCTTCCTCCAGTTTTCCCAGACCTGGTGCTGGAGAGTGGGGAGGGCCAGCCGGCTGTCACCCAGCTCCGACCAAAGCCAGGCTGACTCACACGGTGACTAGAGCAAGGCAGAGCGAGATCTGAGGCCGGCAGGCTGGGCCGTCTCCAGTCAGCCCTGTGAAGGGGAAGAGCGAAAACAGGGGAATTAGTTTGAAACCTAAACTGTTGTGAGCGAGGGGGTGAAAGGGCCAGCAAAGCCAGCTGATCTGACATGGAGCCACATACCTAGGGGATTAAGTAAATATGTACTGTAGAAAACCAAACCTGCGTATAATTCCAGGTTGCTTTTGTTTTGTTAAATACTGCCCTGAGATTTACAATTCCTCTGGGGTGGCTCCGACGGGGAACTGAACTTTGGAGCCTGTACGATCAGCCCGAGCTGATTGCCATTAACTCTTCCCTCCCCGGGGCCAGCGGGGGCCCTGTCGTGGTTGAGCTTGCCGGGGTCCTGCTTCTCCTTGGGTGGTTGGACAGCTGCTGACCTTGCCGTTGGGAGGGGAGTTCGGAAGTGTTTTTAACCCTTGGACACACCGAAAAAGGAAGAAGAGTTGTTCTCAGCAGTTTCACTTCCTCGGGGTGATGCCCCATTGAAGGGCTCCCGGAGCCCTTTGTTGGGGGGGGTGGGATCGGAATGGCAGGTGAAGGCGTTCTTGCAGGGGGATGTGGGCTTTGGGACAATCTTGTGTGATTGTCATTCCTTAGCTGTCTGCGTCCCACAGAAACTCTTCTGACTCTTCCAGCTGGCCGAGGTCCTGAGCCTCTTTTACTGCTCTCTTAACTGGCTGCAGTAGGCATGTGAAGAACTCTTTTAGTCAATCTGGAAAAACTTGACTGACTATAAACAAGCCTAAATGGAAAGAAGTATATGGCGCTGGGGAGGAGGAGGGTGGAATGGTGCAGAGTGGCACCCTGTGCAAGTTCTGCCCTGGGAACCACGCCCCACCTATCTTGGACCGGACGGCCTCCTCCAGGGATTAAACCCAGGGCCACTTAGAAATGTGTCTGAAATAGCTATCAGGTCACTGCAAACAGGATCCATGGGGCTTATGGAACTGCCAGTGCCACTCACCCTGGGTTCAGTCATCAGACCACTCAGGATGACCAAAAGTGCTCCCTACAACTCTGTAATTATCTGACCAGCTACAGGAGCTGCTTTTTAATGAGACTTCCGCTTGCTGTCAGGGTGGGGAATTTGGAATCGAGGCTTCTTGCCGGAGTCCATCTGGGGCCGGTGAGGGGGTTTTGGACAATCCCCAGAGCTAGGAGTGTTTGGGGACAAAGGGCCACGGGTTGTGGATGGGGGTATTTACGGGAGCTCGCTGAGTGGGTTGTGTGAACCGTGGGCTTAGGGTGGGCCTGGAGCCACCGGAGAGAGCTGGGGAGGGCAGCACCAGTGACATCAGACGGGTCAGATGACTCTCCTTCTCCTCTGGGTGGAAACAGAGGCTGCCTCAGAGAGCCCTTCCAGCCTGGATTCGGCTGGCATTGGACCTGCAGCAGGCAGGCCCCCAGAAGAGAAAGAAAGAGAAGGCCCAGAGTCTGCAAACAGCTGGCACATCCCGGAGTTGTCTGTTTACTTTGTGGGGGAGTGACAACCCAGTTTCCCATAATGACCTTGAGTCAAACAGGATTTGGCAATATTTGGGGCGGTAGTGCGCCCTAGGCAGCAAAGGTGACCCGAATGAGGGTTTTTCTTAAAGGGACACAGAGGCTCCAGGAGTCAGAAAGTCACTCACCTGGAGACATTGCTCCCTACCCGTCGTGTCCCCAGGTTAACTGAGGCAGGGCCAGTCATGGTTAGCGGCTCAGAGGGGAGGGCTCTTGCTGGGTTATTGCCCACTACACTCCTTTTTATTTCCTATGTCCTCCTGGAATTCCTCCCACAAAAGCCTTCGGAGTTGGGCCCATCCGTCTCCCCGGCAAGGCTCCTGGCTAGCTAGGCAGCTGGCCAGGCCTCCAGAGTCTTTGACCTTGACATGGTTTAAGCAGAGTCCCTGGGAGGATGAGAAGTGGGCTGCCTGTTTGGAAGTATTTGCAGTGGCTGTTCCAGCCTTTGGTCCAGTATGAGGCAAGTGGCCGGACGAGAGCCCTGGGTCAGGATCGCAGGCCCGTGGGGGCAGGAGCAACACACCCGGGCCCATCCTCTCCGTGGAGGAGGGGTGGGCTGAGACTCAGGGACCCATTTCAGGGGGGTGGTATGAGAACTGGCTCAGAGTTGTTGCACCTGCCTTGCTGTTATTGAATTTTCGGTACCCTGTTCCCAAAGCAGCAAGCCAGGAACGAGCCCTTGATGTAGATTGTGAATCCTATTCTCCACCACATCCCTTCAGCAGATCCCATACCCTTCCCACTCCTGGCATTGGGGCAGGCCCAGGCCCGACTGGCCCGTGACAACGGTCTTTGGGAGACCTAGTTCGGGGAACCGGCCTGAGGTGTCTGACAGGTGTTTGCTGCTGCCCAGGCAGGGAGAGAGGTGGGGACAACAAAGATGAGTAAAGACACAGAGACGTGGCCAGGTGCTTACAGTCAAGGCACAAATTCCAGCGCGTGTTAGTTTCCTGCGGCCGCCATAACAAATTACCACCAATCTGGTGGCTTACAACAAGAGAAGTGGATTCTCTCCCCGTCCTGGAGGCCAGAAATCTGACATCACGGTGTTGACAGGGCCCCACTCCCTCCAGAGACTCCGGGGGAGAACGCTTCCTTCCTTCTTCCAGCAGCGGGGTCTCCTGGTTGGTATTCCTGGGCTCGTGGCTCCATTGCTTCCATGGCTGCCTCCATCTTCACGTGGCCTTCTGCTCTGTGTCTCTGTGTATCTCTGCATCCTCTCATCTTCCTATAAGGACCCCAGGCATTGGATTTAGGGCCCACGCTAAATCCAGTATGACCTCATCTTGAGGTCTTTAACTACTTACATCTCCAAAGACCCTATTTCCAAATAAGGTCACATTCTGAGGTTCCAGGTAGACGTGAATTTTGGGGGGACACTACACAGAGGAAGCCCAGTGGAGCTGTTAATCTCTAACAAGCGTTCATGGAGGGCTTCCTGAGGGAGGCGGCATCTGAGTGAGCCTTGGAGAAGGTCAAGAGTTTCAACCAGAAGGGATGTGAGAAGGGCCGGCCAGGTGCAGGAGACCACCTGATCAAAGACTGTGTCCCTGGCTGAAGGTGGGGGAGGGAGGCGGAAGGCAAAAGAAGAAAATATTGTAGAGCGGGACAGGGAGCAATTGAGGGAGGCAGGGGCTTGCATCTCAGACTCTGAGTTGGGCCAGTACTATGAGAACAGGAAAAAGGAGAAGGAAGAGAGGGGTCCAGACAGAATCTCGTGGGACCCAGAGTCATCAGGCCAAAATAGCTGCATTGAGTGACTGATGGGGCATGAAGGTCACAAAGCCAGGGGTGGCATGGCAGATGCAGACATGACCCATCTCTCCCATCCTCCCCCTGAATGCAGCCCTGGCTGGGAATTTCTGGGAAAATACCAGGCTCCCACCTCACGTGGCCCAGGAGCAGGGGGGTGGCCATCTGTCCTACTGTGGCACCGGGGAAGTCTTTCAGCTGGTAGCATCTGGTCCTTGGGTTTCAGACAATGGGCCTTGGGCTGTCTCCTGAGTAGACAAGCTCCTCCCTCTTTCTGCCCCACTCTCTTTCCCTGGGGAACAGAGGCAGCCACGTCTGGGGCCACCCCGCTGCGGCCTGCTCTCCTGGGCCAAGAGGCCAGAGACTGGGTTCGAGACCCAGCTCTGCTTGCGACCCTGGAAGTCACTGCGTCCTCTGGGCTGCGGCTAAGAGGCAGCCCTGGAAAGCAAGAGGGGACGCGATGACCCCTAAGACCCTGGCATGCTCTCAAACTCTCGTACTGTGGATCAGCCATCCCAGGAGAGCAGCCGATTGCCAAGCTCTCTGAGTTTGGGGGAAGAGAATTCTGCAAAAAACATTTGTCCTCATCACTGAGGGTCTCGGTCTTTCTTGCTGATCTAGTCAGCAGGTCCCACTGAATGAAAAAGAAGCAACTCCGACTTGGGAAAGGTGCCCTCAGTCAGCAGGAGGCCTTGTGCCTGTCTCTGAACGTCCTCAGCAGCGACCAGGTAGCCACCTGCCATGGACTCATTGCAACTCTTATAGGAGATGTTGGTGTTTTCAACCAGTAGCTTCAAAGGAACGAGAGGCCCAAGTTTCCTGACTAGCATGTGAAGCAGAAGTTTCAG